CCAAAAATACAAAATGGAAGAAAGAGTTAAAACTGAACACAATCTTGCTACTCAAGCTGTGTGTGAACTTTTTATATATATTTATTTGCTTCTTTTCCATTTTGCACTTACTTGTACTTTCAATACTTAAGTACGTTTAAGATTTAAAAAACAATTTTCGTACTTAAGTACAATAAATATCACATACTTTAAGACTTTTACTCGAGTAATATTCTAAACAATGACTTCAACTTCTACCAAAGTCATTTTCTGGTAAGATATCTGTACTTTTACTTGAGTATGGCTTTCAGGTACTTTATACACCACTGAAAGTATTTAAGCTTAAAATAATTAAGACATGCTTTATTCAATATATACATGTTTTTTTTTTGTGTATTGTTGATTAGTGTACATGTTATCCCTTGTTGTATATGCTACTGTTGAGGAAAACATCAGACAACTGTTACAGCAAAAATAAATAAATACATACATATGTATTGAAATTGGTTTATGTACTAATATATCACTAAATACAAATTAGAGGTTGATCAATATTATTTTGCTGGTACGATAATGACGTGTTTAACCTCTTGTCACCCGTCCCCTCTGAAGTTTACTTCACTATATTACAATTAAATCCTAATCTAATCATGACAAACTATATATCGTCGGAAAGGTACAGTAATAGATTAATTTATGACAAGAGTGCACCTCAAAAATCTACATCATAACTGGAGTTCTGACCTTTGTCACAAAAAGTCTTCTTCGTTGCCTTTTTCTCGATCACACTTTAGAAATCATCAGAAATTATATATCAATTGAAAACTTAAAATCTCAAAATTCATCCTTTGAAAACCATTTTAAAATCAGACATTGCATTACCATGAAAATGGTACATCAATATCATGTTACAAAATGTTTTCATTCATGAATTATAAAAATTTACGTTTGGATCGTGCACTTTCACGTCTATATAGTGACAATTAAAGGGTTAAAGAAAGCAATAAACAGATTATTGTGCCAATAATGGTAAAAAAAAATATATATATATATAAAACATGATAATGTTCTTTGCCTCCTTTCTGTGATGGGTGGTGATTATTAAAATCCATTTTACTTTTCCCCAAACTCCATTATATTTATTTGTTTATTTATGTCTTCAAATTCTGTTTTAATTAAATTTTTCCCCCGTTTATTATTTTTGGACTCAATTCAAATTCAATTTTAAAAATAAAAAAAACACGTGTAAGTTTCATGATTTCAATTAATTATACTATTTAACTAATAAATTAGTTAAAAGTTTAATTAAAAAAATAAATTTTTAGAGCCTTGTGAAATACTTTTTTTTCTCTTCAAATTCAGTTTTATTTTTAACAAATTCTGTTTTCCGTTTTAATTTTCCTGGATTCCATTTTAATGGTTTAATTGAATTTAAATAATCAAAAATCATGTGTAATGAATTGAATTCATAAAAAAACAACTTGATTTTTTTTTTCTCTGTATTTAATTTTTTAAAATGTATTTATTTAACAATAATAGGGCCCTATAACAGTTTAGTTTTTTTTTTTTTTTAAGAAAATATGTGCTTTTTTTGTATTTAATTTAACAATATTAGGGCCCTATGAACTGTTTAGGTTTTTTTTTTTCTCCAGGAAAACTATGCTTTTTTTTTGGTATTAAAATTTTTCCGAATTGTAATGTTTCCTAATATAGTCACTCTGCTTTTGTGTCTAACGATAGGCTTTAGACGTGACGCCGCAGCCTCTTGCACCTTCTTCATTATAACATCCAGAAGGCCGGTTGTGAAGCTCTAGACTGGAGCTCAGTGTGTTTCTATGCTATGTTCCGGCTGAGATGAGGTGAGACACTCACAGTAGTGCGCTGGATGTGTCATGGGCGGGTGATGCTGTAGATGGCCGTTCTGATGGTGAGGCACAGTGGGGGTGAAGTTACTGTTCCTCGTCCAGCTGGAGCTGGTGTCTGTGGACAGAAGAGCAGAGAGCGCACGTCTGACACCGGACATCAGGTTTACTCATGCTCTGGATACTGAATGCAGGAGATGCTGAAAAGCTTTCGGACTCTAGATGGAGCTGCTGGGTGGAGCTTCACTGTGGCTTACTGTGATGGTACGTGGAGGGCTGGCCGGGGGGGAAGCCATTCTGCTGTGAGCCCTGCCCCGTCCCAGAGGCAATCTGCAGCAGACCATCGCTGCTGTGGCTTCCTGAGAGAACGCTATTGGGCTGAGCTGGGGAGAGAGGGCGGCATGCGGGTCAAAGACGTTAAGATATCCGCATCATTATATGTCCATAGAAAGAACATTAAATGTAAGTGCAGTGTCTACTTTTAAGGTTCCAAATAAACAAAATGTCAAAGTTTGGTTGAAATAATGTTACATTGTCATTCAGTGTAACACAATATTTATGTAAAAATTCAAACAACATGCTTATTCTGACCTGTACATATTAAAATATATAAAAGAATAAGGGAGCATATTAAATTTAATTGTGTTTTAAATTAGTAAAAAAATCTTACTGACAAATGGGCAAAACCTAGGATAATGG